TATACTGGGTTTTTATTAATTAAAATGTATGTTTGAATTCTTGTTCGTAGTACGCAATACCAAGCACAACTCTTGTTACGCAGAAAAACTGAAAATAAAACTCTGATCAGCATTTAAAATAGTCTTGCTTAAATTCTTGTTCTTAGAACGCAAAACCATGCACAACTCTTGTTACGCAGAAAAACTGAAAATACTGTAATCGGCTTTAAAAATATAGAGTAACTTCGAAATTTGAATGCAGTTGCCTGAAGGCAAGGGGGCAATACTAAGTAGGCGACCCAGTCACGTAACAATAAATATTAGAACAGCCAACAGTTGAAGGCTTCTGAGATCTAGCAGTGGAACGCAAAGAAGAAGAATGATGACTTGGCCTTCAGCAAAATGACATTATTGGCTATAAAGGGGAACAAGACTCATTTACAGCCAGTCGTCAATTTCCATTTTAGCTTCTCGAATAATTTCGGAACGCTGTTTCTTCAATAGGTTTTGGAAAAGTAAAATCCTCTTTCATATCTATTTTCAGAGTTGCCCATGGTTGATATGAACGGATGTACGTTAGAGCACGTACGTAACATTTAATACGAGATATTGATAAAAGCTTTAGGTTTAGTAACTTTCTTAACCCTGTCCTAAACCATTTCCATGAACTGTCTTTGATATCGGCTTCACGGATCATGGGTAAGATATTTACATGAATATTAGAGGGTATGGATTTTGTAAGAAGGATGAAAGAAACTGTCTTTGGGGGAAAATATAACACCATACTCGTTGTTTCTACATTGGTAATTGTGACACCATGGTCGGGCATGTTCAAATATTATTTTATTTTCTAACTTTTTTTTTGGGGGGGGGGAGGGTAGACAGTGCCTCATAATTCAAGTCGTTTTAAGGCATCAAAGATCACTTTTTGCACACAGTGGTTGTGCGGGTATAACCTATTCTCTTTTTTGTCTGACTATTTAAGAGACTGGGCATACGAAATAAGAGTATACTATGCCCGTGAAAAACGAGACAAGTAGAGAAAGATTTAGGGAATGATTCTCCAAATAACCCATGCACAAGAAAGTTTAGTTTGGTATTCGAACCTGTATAATAGGCACATTAGACAAACATTATACCAACAGAGGTGGTGGCCTTTCACACTTTGCAAGGTAATGAAGAAGAAGAAGAAGAAGAAGAAGAAGAAGAAGAAGAAGAAGAAGAAGAAGA